AAAAATATGAAAGCATGATCATGTTGCTGCACAGGTGTACAACCGATTAGTCGAAGATAGCTTAAACCGACAGAAGCATTCCACTTCAATAAATGAACTACAAAGAGGACGTTTTAGTAATGGAACTTTTTCCTTTTTAAGGACATCCGATTTTTTTTTCTCACCAAAAGAACCTGACTACTTCTACATCGTTGAAAACAGAATATATAAGATAGTAACTATCCAGGGAAACCATATATTAATTTTGAAGGTGTAGAAGTTTTGAATTTACAAAACTTTTTTAATACGCCCATACAATCTGGTAATCTTAATATTAAATGTTGTAATGTATTAAATTTTTCCACGACCAAAGTCTAACATTCATTAGAGGAAATATCCGAAGAAATTATTAAGTTCCAAAATTTTGAAGGCAATATTAATTTCTTCATTCCTTTCCTACATTCATCTTAGATTTAAAAAGTTCAACTTAAGTAATACAACAACATAATACATACAAAAGTAATACAGACATGGACATGAACATGGCCTTAAATAGTGTATATGATAACACGTCGGATAATACACCGATCACCAAGATCACCATAAAATTGTACAACCTTACATTAACTTTTTCTTTTCAGATCTCAAAAACTTGGAACAAAAAATTTTAGATGAATTGAAAAAAACAGAGAGAAAAATATTGTCTGGTATGTACGTAAGGCGTGATCCATCTAGACAATTTTTTTATTTAAAATAAGACACTTAAAACAGAACTGGATGTCTGACTCTTTATTATCACCCAAAAGAGATGTTTTGTGAACTAGAATAGCCCAACTAAGATTTGAAAAGAACTCTAATAATATTGTAATTGGCTCGTGTCTCTAAGACATTGTCTAATGCATTTCTAATCCTTACCATATTAAGTAGTAAGCGATAGAAATGTATTAGACAAGTATTAGAGACATGAGACACTTAACCGTAGTAAGATTTTATTTTATTGTGTCGTTATTGCGGAGTACCATCGATATCTACAAGTATAAATATTGTATATCTTTGTAGAATTAAATCACAACCAAAAATCGATGAAGAAGACTCTTACTCGCATTTTGGAAGAAACGAAAGTAAGAAGTCAGAACCATACAGAAAGGAAAGTGGCCACCAGTCTTCCAAAAAACCGTATACCAGTCTAGATGAATTCAAAGCATTTGAAAAAGAAATTCAAGAACATCACTCCAAATTTAATAGCCTGGTAAGGTTTTATTTTAATTGTTCTGATATAACTTGGAAATTAAGCAATTGATAATCCATTTTTTCAGGTGGCTGAGTTATCATTAGTGTTTTCACAATCTGCGGAAAAGTATGTAAAGGCTGCCTGGCGAAAAATATTACCGGATGAAGCCGCTCAGCATTTATCTTGGAAGGGCACAGAAACCAAAATGTCAGCTAGATCACTGAGTGTGACAATGGCTTTAAAAAGTATTTTAATTTGAAAACAAAAATAATTTTTCAAAAATTGATTTTCATAATATTTTCAGGCTCATTTTCGAAAAAGTATCCACATAGTTCGGACAGCGAATTTGTGTATCTTATATAGTAACCACCTAACAGATCAGAGAAACTATACTGTGATCATGTAGATAATGTTTTAGATTTATCACTTGCAAATAAGGAAGCCCAATTGTGTATACTTGGTGACTATAATCTTAGCAAAATTATATGGTCATGCCTTTTGGATGATACCGTGCTTATTCCTAGTAATGTGAATTGCCCCAGTGAAATTTATTTAATCGATGGATTCTTTAGCTTAGAATTAG